TGGAGAAGATAATAAGAGCTGCAGAACTGAACCGCTCAGGAACAATTTACTACAAGAGCGTGCAATTGCTGGCTTATGCCGATGACATCGACATCATCGGCAACAAAAACCGCGAAGTCTGTTCTGCCTTTTCCAAGCTGGATAGGGAAGCAAAGCGAATGAGTCTGGTGGTAAACGAGGACAAGACGAAGTATCTCCTGTCATCAAACAAACAGTCAGCACATTCGCGCCTTGGCACCAACGTCACTGTTGACAGTTACAATTTCGAGAAAGTAGAGAATTTCGTTTACTTGGGAACCAGCATTAACACCGATAATAACGTCAGCATTGAAATCCGACGCAGAATCACAAGTGCTACTTTGGACTGAGTAGGCAATTCAGGAGTAAAGTCTTCTCTCGACATACAAAAACCGCGCTCTATAAGTCACTCATCATGCCCGTGCTGGTATATGGCGCAGAAGCATGGACAATGACAACATCCGATGAGGCGGCTCTTGGAGTGTTTGAGAGAAAGATTTTGCGGAAGATTTACGGGCCTTTACGCGTTGGCGACGGTGAGTACAGCAGACGATGGAACGATGAGCTGTATGAGCTTTACAACGACACGGATATAGTGCAGCGAATTAAAATACAGCGGCTCCGCTGGCTTGGTCATGTCGTTCGAATGGACACCGACGCTCCAGCTCTGAAAGTATTCAACTCGGAACCCGCTGGTGGTAGCAGAGAAAGAGGGAGGCCCCCACTGCGATGGAAAGATCAGGTGGAGAAGGACTTGGCTTCACTTGGCGTTTCCAATTGGCGTCAGTTGGCACAGAAGAGAAACGACTGGCGTGCTTTGCTGAACTCGGCCAAAATCGCTTAGGCGGTTACTGCGTCAAAAAAGAAGAAGAAGGTATTCTCGCAATTAGATACATATGTGCATACATATATGTATACTCTGTGTATATAATTATATGTATATCGAGCCCTAACCGCCAAAATAATGTAAGCGACATTTTTTTCAAAATTTTCTTTTTGATGCAAAAATGTTCCTAGAGCATCAAGATGCATTTCTGCATCAAAAATAAAATTTTGAAAAATATGTCGCTTACGTTATTTTGGCAGTTAGGGCTCGATATGATTTATTTACGGTCGTGTATATATGTATATAGCTATATATCTCTTGTTGCAGAGTATGTAACCAAATGAACAAATATGCAAAGTTGAATGTAAATTAAAGAAAAAAAATTCAAATTTGGTTGATATTTTATGTTCAAAAGTAGCTAGTTACAAGTAAGTTGATATGTAATGCAGAGGTATCCAGGTCTGACTCTTTTGCGGCCATCGCCCCACAAAAGTAGTTAGCTTTTATCACGCAAGCAGACTACAGGTACATATAAATTAACGTCACTCCCTGCAGCCTTCCTAGAGGGAGGGAGGGAGCTATATCGCAATACGGGTGTTAGATAAACAGGGTTGCTACCTGTTTACAAAGTTAAATTCAATATATGCAATAGGTTAAACGAATTACTACGATATGGATGTCAATTAAAATGGCCTTGAAGGAACTCTATTTCTACATTGCTTGCTAAAGTTCAAACCTAAATTAAGCCGATTCGAAAATTGAAATATGTATCCCGATATAAATGTCAGACGAAAGAGAGTGTGGAGATTTAAAAGAGATTTGCTCCCTCTTTGCAAAGTTAAATTCAATGCTATGATTTACTTAAATATGGATAACAATCAAAACTGCTTTGTAGATCTTTTATTTCTAAACTACATGTAGGAGGGTTGCCAACTGTTCTAAATTTTAGCTTGAATTAAGGCAATCAGATTATGTAATTATACATCACAATACGGGAGTCAGACGTTTTAGTTTGAAAAAAATTTGAAGATTTACACATGTAGCAGAGTTGGCACCCGTTTAAAAATTTAAATTCAATTTGAATTTAGAGAATTAGGTAATCTAAATATATTTATATTATGATGTCACACGCAAAGGGTTTAACAAGATTGTGGTGAAAAATATTTTTTGTTGAAAATATTTAAAATATTTAATATATTGCCATTTCTAAAAAGCTGAACTTATTTAAATTATAAAGAAATTACCGTATGAAATATTAAAATATGGATGTCAAACGAAGGAGTATTGAGATATATTTAGCTTAAACACTTAAAATATTAAAAGGGCTGCAACAAGTTTTAAAGATGGGTAGCACTTGAAATGGATTCAAAATTCAGTCGAACAAAATCAAAAGTAATGTACAGTTTTTAACCTCAATATGCTCTTATTATTATCACGTATTCTACGTTTTAATTTAGCAGATGTGACGCCGACACAGTCGCAGGTGAAGACGAAGGCGCTGGACTAATAGTTTGTTTCATGACAAGCGGCAATTAACAGCACATGGATCCGACTACCTCTTCGCTAACGGCTTCGAAGAGCTCAGCCATATTTCTCTCTTTCTCTCTTTATGAACTTGAACAATTTAACCGCAGTTTTTTTTTAATATGTTGGTGCCTACTCTTCACTTTTCAGCTATCTGTCAATTGTAGATATAAAGAAATATAATATGCAACCTAGCTAACATTATTACATATTGAAGTTTGAGACCATCTACATATAAAATGCTTATGTGTGTTGGAAACTAATAAAAAGGAACAGTCCAGCGCCTTCGTCTTGGCCTGCAGGCTGTATCGGAGATACAGCCGCTAAATTTAAACGTAGAATACGTGGTATGGTTAAGAGTATATCCAAGTAAAAAAACAAAAGCACACACTAAGCAAAGAATATCGATAACAAAAGCGATAATAATATCGGTAGCAAAATCGATAAAAACATCGATAAAGAAATCGATGAAAATATTGATATCAAAATCGAAAAAATATCGAAAGCAAAATCGATAGCAAAATCGATAACAATACTGATTACAAAATCGATTACAAAATCTATCAAAATATCGATTACAAAATCGATAACAAAGTCGATAACAAAATCGATTACAAAGTCGATAACAAAACCCATAACAAAATCCATAAAAATATCGATACCAATATCGATAGCAACATCAATAAAAATATCGAATATAAAACCTATAAAAAATCTATAACAATATCGATAGCAAAATCGATAAAAATATCGGTAACAAAACCGATAAAAGTATCGATGACAAAATCGATAGCAAAATCGATTACACAATCGATAACAAAATCGATAAAAAATATCGATAACAAAATCGATAAAAGTATCGATCATTATATCGGTAAGTTCCGAAAATATCGATAGCAAAACCAATAACAATATCGATAACAAATTCGATGAAAATATCGATAACGAAAGCAATAATAATATCGATAGCTAAATCGTAAACAAAATCAATAAAAATATCGATGACAAAACCGGTAAAAATATCGATTACAAAATCGATTAAAATACCGACAACAAAATCTATAAAAATATCGGTAATAAAATCGATAACAAAATCTATAAAAATATCGATAACAAAATCGATAAATAATCTATCATAAAATCGATTACAGTGTCGATAACAAAATCGACAACAAAGTCAACAAAATATCTATAACAAAATCGAGAAAAAATATCGATAACAAAATCGAAAAAATACCGATCATTATATCGATAAGTTCCGAAAATATCGATAGCAAAATCAATAACATTATCGATAAAAAATTTCGATAGCAAAATCGATAAAAAACATCGGTAATAAAACCGACAAAGTATCGATTATTATACCGATAAACCCCGAAATATGTACTTACGGACACATACATACTTTTTGTCTCCTTCCCACACTTCCAACATATGCACGTGTTTGCAAAATGATGACGAGGTGATTTTGTATGGAAAATCATTTATGCCCATATATTTGAATAAAATAAACATATATAGAAGATATCAACCAATACTTCCCATATACCAAACGAAAGGAAAACTCTTGAATTTTTGATTAAAGAAAACAAAAACAAAATCATTCGAGCGGTTTTCGAGCATTTTGGTAATGAAAAAAATTTGCCTTAAAATGCTCAATATTTGTTAAATTTATATAAAATTTGTACCCGATAATATTTCTACTGCTCCAAAGAACCTATATCCCGAAAATGAAAGTTATATATGGCAACAATAAGTTGCTAGAGCACTTTAAAGGCTCAAAATTGACCCCAAAATAAGGCAATGTTTACCGTTGTTTTTACGACAGAAACCGAATTGGTTATTTACAAAAATGAATCTGTCGACAGGTTTGGAATTTTATCTTTGAAACGCCACACGTTTCTTTGAAATCGCTTTATTAGTTCTCGTGCAATAAGCGTTTTTGTGAAGCTCTAAAAATTACAACTACAACATTTGAACATAGCCCCCATACCTTAAGGTAAGACGTATTCTACGTCAAAAAAAACACTCCAGCAAGCAAAAGATGTTACTATGAATTTTGCTCAGATGATCCATAGCCTAGTTTTTTAAATGTATAGTTACACAATTTTTAATGTCTACACTGGCGCATGCCATAAAGCATCTCATTGCTTCAAATAATGTAATGCATTTAGGATTATACTATATACACTTTTTCCACTTTCTTCTTAAGTGTATCGCTCCATGCATTTGCATAAGCTGCATATACTTACTTGATGCACTGAGAGTGTTTGCAAGAAAAATCAAACTCATAAATCAAAATGCCACATTATGGTTGCATGTGTAACAGCTGCCTCTATACGGCATGGATGACCTATGTATTCGCTCGGTGGTTGGCATCAAGCAGTTGCAACAGTAAACCACCGACAAGCTGCTGGCGCATTCTATCCATTTTCACGCGCTTTTCATTTTTACAAGGCTCTTCTGTATACTTTTCATTTAATATTGGTTGTGGCTCAATATAACAGCCACAACCCCTTTTTTGTTATTAAACGTGGACATTTATTTATACCTCCAAATAATTGGCATATTTTCCCTCTAACTCATATAAAGAATGTATGTATGTGCTTATATAAAGGGCTGCTGTACTTACGTGTGGATTAGTTTTCAAATATTTCCAATTTTCCTCTGTCGTATACCAACCGGAACAGATGGGTAAAAAGGAGAGAAAAGCAGGTAGTATCCAAACCATTAGCAGCATAAACACTACACGTCGTGGTGTCATAATCAGTGGATAATCGAGTGGTTGCACAATCGCATAATATCTGCAAGGTAAAAAATTTGGCGCAACGATAAAATACATCGCATTGAAAATAGTAGCAATTATAGAGGCCATAATAAATTTCGCATTTTTTTTGCGCCACTTACCGATCCACTGAAATGCAGCAGAGATGCATGATGCTGGCCGTTGAAAAATAGACATCGAAACTATTCCACATATCACACATCACCGCACCGAACATCCATCGGCCGGTAATCTCTACGGAAGCGTTGAATGTCATCGCCAAAAGGGCCACCAACATGTCAGCCACAGCCAATGAAACCACAAAGTAATTCGTGATGATTCTATTGGCAAGAATATAAAAAAAAAGAACGCACACACACATAAATCCAATGGATCAGCAAAGTGCCAAAAAGAATGTATAAAAATGTATGTAAAAGCAGTCAGTCATAAAAAATTCAAGTATTACGGCAACCACATAAAAAATTAAGCATTTTACAATGTCTGCGCGAGTATTTAATATCGATGAAATTCCTTTGTTTTAATTTTTTATGCACTACGTGTCGTATGAGTGATTTATGCACATTTGTATGTATGTACTCGTGCATAGATTGAGTAGAATCGTAGAAGAGCAAAGCATGTGAGGAAATGCGAAATGGAAGTGCAAATGCATTTAATGTGAAATAAAGGAAATATTAAAACCAATGAACCAATGCGAATTTCAAGTGCATTGCTCGAAAAAGTTAAATCAAATTGTTGTCAAATTGTATATGGAAACATCTGCGATCGTTGGCAATAATCGTTTACGTCCAGAGGCTGACTTCAATATTTACTTTACATACTAGAGATGCTAGATCTAAATTAAAAAAAAAAATACATTCCAATCAAAATAAAAATAATCGATGCAGGAAGAAATCGTAAAAAAATAAATCGATCTCCCTAGATCGATACATATAGTTTGCCAAATAACAACTTTTACATAATTTTCTTAAAGAAACAAAACACTGCCATCTGACCAACATTGAAATTATCATAACGGTTTCAATATCTAGATTTACCCAAAAGCCATCGGTAGCTAAAATCCGTAAATATACAAAAAAATATTATAGGTTTTTCTATATTAAGACAGCGATATGAGCACGCAACAGAAACTCCACAAATTCTTAGCCCTATTTTGGGAAAATGGTAAATTTTTTCGAAAAAGCCGTTATTTTTAAAAAGTATAATATACTAGCTGAACGAGGCTTGCACATACAGCTTTTTTGCAATATATATATATTACACTCCTTAATTTCCCTTTTAAGAAAAAACTTGAGTTTCCAGTTTTGTGGCGGATCATCACATGAAGCAAATGCCTAGCACCGACAATAAAAAAAATGCGATGAGTCGACTACATTTCGTAGCCACTTTTTCACTGCAATTTTTTACACTAAAATTGTACACCTGTCACTTGTGTAGTTGCATCCCTTGTTGATTTTTTTATTTGTTTATAGTTTTAAAATCAGATTATAAAAAGCTAATAAATATTAAATAAAAAAATTAAAACTTTCAATACTTTGAACTGGCGGGGAGTGCACATACATATATATGAGATACGCTGCAGATTGAAGGTAACCAACGTGACAACATACATTTACAGTAACCAGTTTTTAAAGTGAATCGATATTTCATTCGAATCCATTCAAGTTTTATTAACCGACTTCAAAAAAAGGAAGAGGTTATGAATTCGTCGGAATATATTTTTTTTATGTTTGTTGCCGCTTAACTTTCGACCACGTCAACCGATTTCGAAAATTCTTTTTGCATCAGAAATGTAGTGTCTCAGAGGTAGTTTAGATTCAATCATTGGATCATGCAAAAATTAACGGTACTCCTAAACTTCTATATGAGAATTGAAGTCGGTTTCGTTTTTTGCTTAAAAATTACTGGTTTTCAATATCATTTTGTTTCGATTTGTGGTTTGGGTAGTTTTTGTTAAATAAACAAGTGTAAATTCTCAAAATTACAGCTAGCTGTATTTTTAATATTTGTGGCATTTTATAAGCGACGAGACTTCGCTAAGGAGGCCTACAGTCCGAGGAGAATGGGAGAAAGGTCAATCTTTGTCTTGGCTCTCTCAAGTTTAGTTAAAATTTTCTAGATTTTCTAATGCAATGCGATTTGCGACAATTGAAAAAAATCGAATGCCGATTCTCATATTTTTTGGATCGATTCACGGATCGAATCGGAACTAAAAGATTTTCGATTTTATCGATTTAAAAACGGCATCTCTAATACATACTAGCCTTTAGCGAAGAGATGAAATTAATGATATATGTGCTATGTACATAAGAGTGATTAAAAAAAAAAGTAGGTATTTTAATGCTCTTACCTCCTGGCATTGTTCTATACCCAACAAATTGAAATAAAAAACATTCAGAGGTCGCTCAGGGCATTCAAAGTTGTCCATGTATTTCATATGTGAAGGAAAAACAATTTTTCGTAGAAATGGTATAGAAGTCTTGAAAAGTAATATTTTTCGATCGAAAAAACTCTGTTCCTCTTTAGAAGGCCTCCAATAATAATAGCAAGTCATTTATTTTACCAGTTTTCAATACTAATGATTTTTTATTAGTCCCCCATTGCAGTTTTTGGGGTTTCCCTTCGGCAGGCAATTGCAAACCTTCGAGTATATTTCTGCCATGAAAAACACCTTCTCACAAAGGTACAATAATGGTGCATTCAATTTGATATCCTAATAGGAAGCTAACCATTTTTAGATCAATACAAATACAACATGGGTTTTCACTTCTGAGTGTAATATTTTGGTAATATTCTTTTAGTTCTGTTGATTGAAAAACAATATAATTTTCCGAATGAAAAATGGCTCTTGTACGACAGAACGCCGCTTTTGCACCTGATGCCAACAAATTATTATTTTATTTTAATATAGAAGCCAATAATTCCGCAGATTCTAAAAATAATTCTAGATCACTTATTAAATTGTTAAATACTTCTTGAATGTAAGTACTCATTGTTATTATTGAATTACTTTGGAGCTCATCATAATACTTTATACATGCACTGTTACGCAAAACTTACCAGCTTCTTGTCATTGTGTTCAAAGAAGAATTCATTACCCAGAAGCTACTTCGCTTCAGTAAAATTTACTTTTTGATTATTTATTTATAGTAAAGACAAGGACGCCATTAAAGCGGAGTAACACAAAGTAAGCATTACTCATACCTTTATTCGAAGCCAACGCACTTATCAACGAGAACTAGAGAGGCCTGAAACTATACCAGTATGTACATACAATAAATCATAGAGAACAATGCAAAGAAAATCAATATCTGAACGGCAATTTGCTTATACTCATACATATAGAAACATAAGATATAAATATACACAAATGGTCCCACACACTTACACTTTTCCATGATATTCGTATTTCATTCAAAGATTTGTTTATTTATTTATTTTCGCTAAATCAGAAATATACTGTGCTGCCAAAAAGCTGAGAAAACTTTTGTTTAATGTAAAAACACATAATCAGTTACCAGATTTGCAAGCGCCAATTAATGAAGGAAATGAAAACGAACAAAAGTAGGGAGAAAAGTGAAAAAAGTTTTTAACCTGAATAATAGACGCTAATTGAGTTGACGGTGTTAGTGAACTGATGAATGACAAACTCAGAAATTAAAGTTCAAAATTGCAACTTTCCTCACTTGCAAATCGCATTCGATAAGAGGCATACAGCATTCAACAGCGAAAACAATAAAGAAACTTTATTCTCACACAGCTTCTACTACATTATTCCATCCACATCCATTATTCAACGTTTCAAATTGTCAACTTTTCAATGCTCATTTGGCGCTAAATTGAAACATTGTTTTGAGGAACTCATTACGCCGGCTAAAGCTGGCATTTATCGATTGCCACTGCTCTTTCTTGTTGTTATTGTTGCCGTTATTACTGTCATTGGCATCACGCGCAATCATTTTTTGCTCGTTGTTAAACATCCGCATGCACAAACGAGAGATTACGAAATAAGCAGTTCCCGGTTTCGTGCTAGCCACTCTACACTACTTTGTCCATGATAAATGATAGCTAAAACAACATGAGCACTACGGCGTGCCGAAAATTTCATTTTCATCAAATCTCTTTGTAAAATTCATGTATCGATTTTTAAGTGTTACAAAGTACGCTAATCGACGGAGCCGGATGTTTAGGTTGATTTTAAAAACTAATACTCAGGGTTTGGAAAAAGATTTTGGTTGTCTCAGTATACAATTTAAGCAAGAAACTAAATGATATATTTGTTGTTGTTATTAAAAATTACCAGAGCCGAAAAATAAATAATAAATAATTTAATAATAATAAATTTTAAGCGCTTAGAAAATCACTTAGACAAAGTTAAATATGCTTAAAAATATATTCTAAAAACAACAAAAAAGCTTAAAACCAGTTTAATGTTTTGTTTTTTTTATTCGGTTTATTTCAAGGATTTAAAAATTGGACAATCAAGTTGTGCTTCATATTCTCAAATAATAAAGGCCTGCGCTAGTCGTTTAAGAGCGTTGAATATACGGAAAACAATCTTTCGACATCCAGTGCGTTTAGTGCATCGATGTAGTTGCCACTCTTTTCAAAACTGAATAAAATTTTTTTAAATAATCCTTCTTTTTAATTCGAGATAAATAATTGTTATCTCTTCAATAACACTAATCCCTCCTCGTAGAGACAAAGCTTTGGTTTGCAATTTCGGCATCGCAGCTGGAATGCATTTGAAGTTGAGGTTAATGAAAACTTAATCTGTTGTGTACAAGTCTAAATCAATCACACATTTTCTCATAGATTTCCTCTGCCAATCCTCAGAACCTGCAGTCTATCTCAACACCAATTCCTTTAGCGTGCCCTCCCGACTAAGGTTAGTCAGTCTGTATACATCTTATCATTTTCATTGTTGGTGTTTCCGACAGGATAGGAATATGATGTATTTTCCAAAATACATCAGTTATACATCTCTGGGATTGTCTTTGGCCATCTTAGAAACTCTGACGTACATTTCTTGGGTGGACTACTTAAGGGTTGACGGCCATGCAGGCCGCCTTGGTCTCCAAGTTTCGGGAGAGTGCCAGCTCTTTTGTTGCCCTCAAAGCGGCCGTGACATGGAACCCACCAGAGGTGACCTCTTCTACGGTGTTCAGTAACATTTTGCAACTGTCTACTAGCCCTCAGTCCATTTTATATGAACCTAAGGCTTTTAAGACTGCCTGGCTGTTACATTTGCTGCTTACTGGGGGCCCGTTAGTCCTTCCAAGAAAACATTCGCTGGCATATATTTCAATTGCAAAAGTTTCTG